ATGCAGGAACAGGTATGCGCATCCATACATCCACACATATAAAGTGATATACGCATGCACACGCACACACACACACACAAACATCCACATACATATAAATACACACACACATACACATACATGCACGTAAACACGCACTGACACTTACATACACGCACGAAAGCACCCACAAACACGCACACATATAACACAACACACACACATACATACACAAAAACAACACACACAACAAACACGCACACACACACACACACACACACACACAACGCACCACACACACACACACACACCACACACACACACACACACACACACACACACACGCACGCACACAGACATTACACATCCTTTGCTGCCATTATATATGTTAATGTGCATAATTATACTTCGAATATGAAACACGCATTTGTAGATTTCACGTTTTCACTCTTTATCATATGCTGATAATTTTTTTCTACTTTCCGTATGTTCTCTTTCGTCTTCTCTTCCTTTTGTATTTTCTTCTTTCTATGTTTTCTTTTTTTTTTGTCTTCCTTGCTAATTTCCTCAAATTCTTTGTTTTTATTCCTTCCCTATATGTGAAATAAAGGTCTATTTTCCGTCTGGCTCTGTCTGACTATTTGTCTGCCTCTCTCTCTTTCTCCCTCCCTCTCTCTCTTTTTTTCTCTCTCTCTGATAGTCACTCTCTCTCTCTTTCTGATTATCTGTCTGTTTCTCTTTCTTTCTCTCTGTCTCCTCTCTTTCTCGCTCTGATAGTCTGTCTGTCTGTCTCTCTCTCACTCTTCCTCTTTCTTTTTCTCTCTCTTTTTCTTTCTCTCTCTGTCTCCTTCTCAATCTTCCCACCTATATACAGTGTCCATTTCTTCCATGTACCCTAGAAAAAAAGAGAAAAAAGAAAAACAAAAATAAGAAAAAAAAAACGGTACAGGGCGCCATGTCCCCAGAATAATCCACTCATCTGGAGCATCAACCGTTTAAACTTTTGCTATCGGGGAACCTGTGATCACAACACTGCGTCGCGGAGGGCAAGGAAAACTCCCTCGGCCCCGACATGTTCGCGACGTGTTTTTAGGACCGGGCGGCCGAGGCTAGAGCGTTCGGGGGGAGCTCGCAAGGGCCGCGTCGACGTGAATTTCGTCCGTTTCCTCTGTGGAATGGCCTGGCGGGCGAGGGAGGAGCAGCGCCGTGCAACTGGTGACCCTTCTCTCCCGGGAGTCTGTTTGGCTATGAGGACGGGAGGAATGGGAGGGGAGGAGGGAGGGAGGAGGAGGGAGGAGAGGGAGGAGCGAGGTGAGGAGAGGAGGAGAGAAGGAGGGAAGGGAGGGAAGGAGGGAGAGGAGGGGAGGGAGAGGAGGAGGGAAGAGGAAAGGAGGGAAGGGGAGAGAAGGAGGGGGGAGGAGGAGGGAGGAAGGAGAGGAGGGAGGAGAGGAGGAGGGAGGGAAGGAAAGGAGGGAAGGAGGTGATGGAGGGAGAGGAAGAGGAGGAGGAAGGGAGCAGAGTCACGCTGCAACGTGGACCCTGTGTATGGGAGTGGGGGAGGACAATAGGGAGGGAGTGGAAGGGAGGAGATGAGGAGGGAGAGGGAAGAGGAAGAGGGAGAGGGAAGAGGAGGAGGGAGGAGGAGGAGGGAGAGGGGAGGGAAGGGAGGAGGGAAGGGGGAGGGAGAAGGAGGGAGGGGGGAGGAAGGAGGCGAAGGAGGAGGAGGGAGGAGGAGGAGAAGGAGGGAGGCGAGGGAGGGAGGGAAGGAGGAGGGAAGAGGGAGGGAAGAAGGAAGGGAGGAAGGAGAAGGAGGGAGGAGGGAGGGAGGGAGGAGGGAGGAGAAGAGGAAGGAGAAGGAGAAAAAAAAAAGGAAGAGAAAAAAAAAGACAGACAGCCACTACGGGAAACACTGTCACACATACATCAATTCAAAAAACAACTGAATAAATAATCAAAATGTTCAACGTATACAAAAACCATGCCACTATAACTTATAAATATATATAAATATATATAATATAATATATATAAATAATATAAAAATAATATAAATAATATAATAAATTATATAAATATATAGTTTTTCTTTATACTGAGCTCTTCCATAGCCTAAGTATTAGTGGCGCACTATCTGTGTCCTAAATCCCTCTCTCCAAATAGGAAGATCGCCTGGCGTGTACGAAGTGATGTTTGTGTGGTTGAATATCAGGATTATACTTATAAAGATTGAGTGGAGTGACGAATGAGACTGAGTAGATTTCATTTATGGTTCTTGTAACATTTTTGTCTATGGATTTAACAAATGCAATGATTCCCAATATATTTATGTCTGCACGTCAATCTTTCCAGTATCATTCCAGTATTAAAAAAATCTAAACTTTGATAATTTACGAACAGGTGGCCGGCAAACTCTTCAAAGGGATGAACATGTTTGGACTCGATCTGATGTCCCTCAACATACAGCGTGGCCGTGACCATGGCATTGCCTCGTACACGGCACTCAGAGCCTCATGCGACTTGTCTTCCATTCATGACTTTCCTGATCTCTCGGGAATCATGGATGAGGATGTGATTGAAATTCTAGAGGATGTATATAGGGTACCATTTCTTCTATGTGATTCTTCCCACCCCCTTGCATTATGTTTATTAACATTGTACTTGTTTATTAACATTGTTCGTGAACATATTTTCCATGTGAAGTAGAACACAATGGAGAGTTCGGATGATTATCACACTGAGATCTTTAATTTTTAGTCATGTGGATGACATTGACCTGTTCGTCGGTGGTTTGGCTGAGCACCCGGTAGAAGGAGGAGTAGTAGGTCCCACTTTCGCTTGTATTCTGCTGGACAGTTCCTTAGGCTGAAAGTAGGCGACAGATATTGGTACGAGACTAATGGGATACAAGGTTTAAGAAAGGTAAGTAAATGTGTGTTGTCATGGCTTTCCCTTGGAACTTAGTAATTATTTATTACAACATGCCATTGTTCTGTTTCCTTATGTTCTTGTCCTGTTACTTGTCGATGTATTGTTACTTTTTATTTTACTATTTCAGAACAAGTCAAAGAAATTCGCAAAACAACCTTGGCGGGGATCATGTGCGAAGTGATTCCAGAACTGACGGAGATTCAGGCAGAGCCTCTGAAAGTGGCATCTCTCGAGAATCCAGTGGTATCTTGCTCTTCTTTCCAAGAATTGGACCTCAGCCACTGGAAGGAATGATTGCAGTCGATGGAAGGATTCTGTGAAGTTTCGCAAAGATCAATTTGAGCAATGCAATCGGATATTTTTGATATGTTCATTGTAAAGCATTGTCTGGTCTGGATAGTATCTTTATCCGAGATTAATTAAAGAGTCCTTTCCCACCTGATTAGTTTGGAAATAACCACTAAGAGCAAACAGAGATAATACCCCTTGCAAACACAGACACGAAACGTCTTAAACAGAAAGAAAGGAAAAAAAAAAAAAAAGCTGAAAGGGAGAATAAAAGATCTGCTTTCATCATACTGAGTAACACAGGCAAGTGTCTCGAATGTTTGCTACATCTCTGTATTATGACAACAGTTGTATATACCCCTTCAAAGGTTATCCGTGACCCTCCTCGCCAGGGACACTAATTAGGGGTGGCAGAGGACGGTTGGTGAGGAGTAGGAGGAGAGCGGTACTTTCTTGCCAAGGAGACCGCTAATTAGTTATACAATGTATAGTAGAAACACTAATGCCACTAACGTTTGAATGGGATCGAATAGAAACAAACTTTTGACGTACTCCTTGTCCCTATTCTGTTGTGCTGTCTGACACTTACTTGTCTCATCAATCTTATAGACATACTTTGATAATTTTCTTTTTTTATATTAGCAGACTCTAGCAATGAACGAAACTTTGTCATCACACACACAATCTATACACTAAACATCATATTTTGGCCATTTTTTTCATATCCAAGGTTTAGAGAAATTACTATAAAAGTTTTTCTTCTTCGAATCATCTATGGTTAAAGCATGATTTGAAGCAACAGAAGAAGCATTAATAGAATCCTATTACACTGAATTTCTGTGTTGTTGTAGGCTGCAATTTTCGCTGAATCCTTTGTGTCATATAACAGAATATCGGTTCCCTCTCCCTCGTGGCTCCAGAACGATTTGAAATGGGTCAGGCTCTCCAATAGCATACTGGGTTAAAAGGTCCTCTAAGACAATATTTGCCCTTTCTCCCAATGGCATTTGAAACGCCCCTACCCCACACGCGACACGACAGTTCACATAAGCTAATGAATGGATAAAAGCAATGTCAAGGCTGAATTAGAGGGGCTTACCGGTATCGCCCGGATACAAAGTAAATAAAAATAAATATATTTCATTCCTTTTGTGTTAATTTGAGTTAAATTGAAAGTGATCCCATACCCCCCCCCACACACACATCCTTTCTTTCTCTTGAATTTGCGCATAAAACTACGACGGCTGTTTTAATCTAGATTATTAAAGGGCGAAAAATGTAAAAAAAAAAAAAAAAATAAAATAAGTTAAGTAGTTGTGTTGTTGTACGCAAGTTAAGTAAAGTCCTGACATGATGTTCCCATGGAGGAAAAGCCCTGGGGTTCGATACTGCAATCATGAGGTCACGTCTTGGATGTAATGTAGGCCAATATATATCTCGCTCTCTCTCCCTTTTTTGCTGGCTGACTGGCTCGTACAAAGCCGCAATGGTATTCCTATTATTATTGTTTTTTTAAATATCACTATTATTTGTTATTGCTATTAATTGCTGTTGATATAAATCATATACAGATTTCATACACGAGAAGGAAAAATGAATGGTTTATTTCGATTGTTCCCATGGACAGACAACTTTGAAGTTTTGGAAAAGCATCATAATACCCTTAACCACAAATACACAACCAGTATATTGATTCCCAGCGAGGTTATTCCAGGCAATATTGAGGTGATTTGGCGCACCTATTTCAGGTGTTGAACACGTCTTTAGCAGATAATACATACGAAGATTAAATATGAATATTGTTACGTAAATCAGCAAAGAAAAGTCATTCACTGCCACTTCTACCTTTATACTTAAATATTATTACTAGACTTTGTTCTCTGCGACTTTATATAATCCTCTATTGTCTTTGTACTTTAACATGTATTGCGATTGACTATCGATCAACCTTAGTGTGTAATGATATTCGTATTCAATACACACACACACACAACGAATATCCGAACGAAAGCATTTGGACTATTTTACACTGTACATATACACACACACACATCCACACACCAAACACACACACATCTACACTAACACACACACACTACACATATATATATTATATATATATATAATAAGTATAATATATTAATATAAAAATTAATATATATATATATATATATAATAATATAATACGTATAGGTATTATATAAGTGAACATAACTCTAATGTACTATAAATGCATGCTCTCCTGTACAATCATATCTATATCAAACTATGTCTAATATTTATGAATGTACGATGTTGTGGATGTTTGTGATAGCTTGAGTATATACTGCTACTATATATTCTATCGTTATCTATGCTACTCTATTACAATAATATTGCTTAGTACGTTTAGTATAAAGCTGCGAGCTATCTATTATGGTACTACGGATAAATAAATATATTAAGAATGTCAATATAGTATAATACATTAAGTATATGTATATTATATATATGACGGCATCAAATCAACACACTATATAATACGTGATAATAGCTAATGAAGTATATGGCATACATATATATAATGATACAGTACTATATAACATATGTAATAAATAGGTAGAGAATTATGTTCCTATATGTATATATATATATATAATATATGATATATATATATATATTAATATTATAATAGATATATATATAATAATTATAATATAGATATGATATGATAAGATATATATATATATATATATAATATAAGGAGAGGAGAGATGAGAGAGAGGAATAGAAGATATGGGAGAGATACTAAATATATGGCAGGAGAGAGAAGGAGAGAGGGAGAGGAAGAGAATGTAAAAAGAATATGAGATGAGCGTTATGATTGTAGTCGGGAGCGAGATGTATATGTGAAGGTTGAGTGTAAGGAGCTAAGTGAGTGAATGAGCGAGATAGACTGATACAAAGCGAGATAGTAATAAGAAGAGTAGTATATAGTATAATACATGTGAATGAAGAGTAGTAGAGAGAGAGAGAGAGATAGTACAGAGTATGATATTAGTACGATGAGAGATTTATACATAGACGAGTAGAAGATACGAGATGAGAGAGAGATAAGAGTGAGATAGAGTAGAGTAGATAAGGATAAGAAGCCTGAATAAGATATACCGTTAACACATGAACAGACTAAGGTCAGATACTCAGGTAAATAATAGATTGAGAAAATAATTCCATAACGTATAAGTAGATACACACCAGCACACACGAGCGACACACACACACACCACGACACACACACACACAAAGAACGGCGAGAGGGAGGGGGAGTGAGTATATATATTATATATATATTAGGGGTGGAGACTATCGTACCATCTCCGTATATACCTTCAGTATAAAAAATATACAGCTGTATAACCATCCCTTGACTTCTGCCACCAATCTTCTCTGACACTCTCTACCTAAGACTGTAATGTGTTAATATCTCAAATTAATATGTTTAATATTAGAGAAAAATTGTCTATATTTTCTCTCTCCGACGATATTCTCCTGAGTCAGCTAGCTCCTAAACTCCAATTGCATATTATAGGAAGTTTTACCATCCGCGTTTATTTTTTCCTTTTTTTTACTACGTGTCCTGTAGATACGAAAGTAGAAAGAAGATTCTAATATTATGGTCTATTAATGACGCTCACAGATAGATTTAATCGTCAAAAAATGCGACCCCCCTTAAAAACAAACAAACAAACAATAAAGTAACAAATATTCACAAAAAAATCCACATCACCGTTCATTATATTCTGCATCACGAACATTTTTTATATCATTATATCACAATTCATCAGAATAATTATTCTTTAACATATATTACAGGTACATTCGTCCTCACAACAGAATAATACCAGTATATATCATCATCATCACACGTCATCTCAGTAACAAAATATTAAAATCAAAATAAGCGAGTTATGGGTGAATTTCCCTCAAGAGAGCAACCTGTTAGAAAACGGAGTGCAGCGAATCGAGGGTTCAATACAAAGGAGAAAATGAAACTCTCGAGGTTTGCTTTCATCGTGTTCTTTCGTTCGTGAATTATAAAGTTAATCCGACATGATTCCAAGTCATGTCTTCGTCAGGGGTATTTGAATTTTTTTTCCTGGGTATCATAAAACGCGATAATAAATCAACTTTATTACGGTGTTAATCTGGACTCGAGGTAATTGAGCCGCAGCGACTGAATTCCGTTAACGTATAGTCATCACGAAGAGAAAATTAAATAATAGAAAAAGAGACGACCAAGAAAATCAAAAGAAAAATAATCAACAAAGCATTGAAAAAGAAAACGGAAAACAAAAGAAAATGAATGAAAGAAAACGGGAAAAAACAAAGTATGGCTAGAGCGCGTACGCGTTCATCCTTCCCGCAAACAGCATTAGCTCGTTGGGTGTCACGGCTGGTAGGTCACAATATTAGACTGTCGCCCTCACTGAGCCCCGTGCGAGGTCAGCTTGAGAGTTCAAGAGCTGTCTCTCTCTCTCTCCCTCTCTCCCTCCATTTCACTCTCTCTCTGTCTCCGCGTCTGTTTTCTCACTTTGGGCTTTCTCTCCCTCCTTTCTCTCTCTCTCTCATATACACACACAATATATTATATATATATATATATATATATATATATATATATATATTATATATATTATATATA